CGATAGTAGGCAGGCGGAGCCTCTTGTCAAGGCTGTGGGGCTTGGCCCTTGTCCTCCTCTTCGTGGGAAGGCACTGGTTCTCCTTTATGTGTGCCTCTCACCGATAGTAATGTAGCCATGCCCCTGCACCAGAGTCTAAACACCACCTGTGCACCTGTGTTTAGCCTGTCTCTGCCAATGGACAGGCCCTCCTTTGAGTCCCACAATATAGATGCCTGTGAAGAGCGTGTCACGTGTTGCTGTTCTTGCTGAGGATCCCAGCCCCGACGTGGGAGTCCCTTTCGAGGGCAGTGGTGACTTTCCCTGCAGTGATGAGGACTCAGGACATGGACCCGGATGCGGCAGCCCGACTAACGGCGCGTGTTCCCAGAGGCCGAGCCCGTGAAGCACAATGGTGGTTGCGATGCCAGTTCCCTTGTCAGTAGCGCACCCCCGCTTCAGTCGGCTGTTCTTTGGCTCTCGGTGTAGCACGGGCACCACTTGCCTAGGGCTGTTCTGCCCGCACGCCAAGAGCCAAATTGTCATGTGTGTGGGACCAGTCGCCTGTCCGACCTTCGTGTGGCCACCTCTTCTCATAGGGCTTCGTGAAGGCCTGAGGCGTGCATCCATTACCTGAGGCCCGCTGCCCTCACAGGGCTCGTTGCCTTTCCCCGTGGCCGCTGAGGTTTCATGCTGCGCCCGGACCCGGCTCAGCTAATGGGGCGACGTAATCCACATCGACATCGCTTCGAAGGTCGAAAGTGGGTTTTTGGAGGAGAGTCCTTGTGCTGTGCTTTGCCAGAGGGCTTCGGACACGTGGTGTCTCAGGGCTTTGCAACGTCCCCTGAGGGCAGTCCCGTCATCTCATGCTATTACGTGGGCAGGGTGTGATCACGGATGATGGAATGCCCGTGTACTTTGCACGTGATGAACTCCACACTGATCGAGAGCTCCTAAGCCACGGATGGCCAGACCTCCACACCCAGCCTGGTACTTTCCCTCCGCTGCACACGCAGCCACATGTGCACACCTGCTTGTACCAACCCATCAGAGTCACACTGCCCCATACACACACTCAAACACACCCACAGAGGGCCCCACACAGAAAGCAACCCACAGCCCTAACATGTTGCGTGCTCTTACCAGATTTTTTGTCATACACTCACAATTGGAAATTCCTAACCACACACAGGGTACCTACACAGAACAAGAGGCATCCCTCCATCAACCTGTGTGGATTGGATGACATGGGCCTGTGCCAAGGTACTGAGAGAGCAGGGCCCCCTGTGGGACAGAGGGGACACTGGTCCCCACAGGCAGATGCAACGCTTCCCTTGGAACTGTTCCAACCATGCTCAGGCCATCTCTGCGCCTGGCCCGGGTGCGTCTTTGCATTCATTCACCCATTTTTCTCCACTCCTCCTCAGGTCCCGAGGCCTAGCCAGGCTTCCTGTGGCCTCCACGGAGAAGTAGACCTTCCTTTCCTTTGGAGTGGTGTGGAGAGATGATGACGGGGCGGGCCCTCTGGAAGAAGATACTGCCCAGGACGGGAACCTGTTGTGGGATCACTCCCGATGAAGTAGGTAAGCTTTTGTTGTCTCAAATTGTACTGATGGCGACTAGAAGGTCCTGAGATGGCCCTGCCCGGACCTGCCAGCTGGGTTGTGCTCATGGCGATGCCGTTGGATCTCAGGAAGTTTGCCTAAGCAACCCCTCAGGGGCATAAGCTGTGGATGACCTCCATTTTGCTGGAGGGTGCTGAGGCCACACGGGGAGACCCTGTGAGCTGTTCAGCCCAGCCGTAGTTCAATATACCAAGGATGCCGAGCAAGTGCTTGGATCGATGATGACTCCCTCAATCTGCATTCCTTGGAAAAGCTGAACAAAATGAGTGAGAACTCCCTGCCGTCGTTCTCATCAACTCTGAGGTCCAGCACCTTGTCTCTCCCACAGGGGAAGGCAAAAAGTGAGTGACACCGTGCCACCTGCTTGCAATCCACCTCCAACACCACCGACCCAACCCCACCACCAGATTCTCCACCCAAGGGTCTTGGGATCTTAGAGCTTTGACGGAGGGCTGAGGAGTCCAAAAAAACGTATGCCCTCCTTTGGGTGGGAGTCCCAGCCTTGGTGGTCCTCCATGACATGGCTGGTTGGGATTTGGTGGCGTCTCAGGTGGCCAGCAGCCAAGCAGTAAGAGTTGCATTAGGTGGTTTGGCGAGGCCTCGAAAGCTTCTATGCTGGAGCACGTAGGCTAGGCTGATCATTGAGCCAGTACTCCTGGCAGTGTGTGCCGTGCCCCCCCTTTCAGGGCCAGACGCCGCCATGGTTTGTACAGGTGGACTCCCGACCGGCAATCAGCAATCTCTGCCCGATGCCCTCTTGTCCCAAGTTTCAGCTGAGAGCTGAACAGGGTTGCGGGAGGACAGGAGAGGACACCAGATGGGGCCGGTGCATTTGACAGTGCCTAATTCATCCCCCCCCAGACGAGGATGGAGACACACAAGAGACCCCCATGCACACCCACCCCCACACACAAACCCCCCCCCACACAGTATACCAGTCTACACACAAAACACATACACCCACACAAGCACAGACACACACAGCAAACATGCCAGGAGGTCCAGCAGAGCTCATGGTGTACGTTCAGGGCAGGCGTGTAGAAGCTTTCTGCAGTGGCCCCTGGGATGAATGGGAATGGCAGGGCCAAGGGCGTCCGCAGGAAACGTGTGTGTGGGCAGGGCAGCTGGTGGCCACCCCACAAACCTGGATGCATTGTCGGGAAAACCCAAGGTGTCAGAGCTTTCTGAGCTGTTTGGGCCCCCCACCACATTCCAACTTCCCCATGGGCCCCTGGTGATTTACCATGGCCTTCAGGGGCCCCTGGCGATGGTGCTGAGGGTCTGTCTGTCCCCCGCCCCTGGCCACTGCACTTCCTAAAAAAAAAGGGTCATTCTAACCTGCGTGTCTACAAACTGTTCCAGTGGGGTTGGATAGCCCCCTGGCCATTGCCCCCTGGTTGACCCCCCCTGGGGCCTTGCAGACCCTGGCCATGTGCAGACCTTGTCCTCCTGGGCCTGCCGGGGCTCCTGTGTAAAGGTGTCCACCCATGGCCCAGCCCTTGATTCAGCATCCGATTGGCTCCTTCCTGCTCTGTGGGCACAAGACTTCTGTGGGCCAGCCTGCAGACCATGCAGGACAGGCCACAGGGACCCGATAGTAGGCAGGCGGAGCCCAGCTTGTCCAAGGCTGTGGGGCTTGGCCCCAATCTCTCTTGGTGGGAGGGGCACTGGTCCGCCTTTATGTGTGCCTCTCACCAGTGCAGTACTGTAGCCATAGTGCCCCTGCCCATCAGAGTCATTCTGTTGCGCCTGTGTGCTGCAACACTGATGTTTCCTGTCTCTGCCAATGGACCCACAATGTGGATCCCCACCACCCCCCCATGCCTGTGAAGAGCGTGTCCACCTTGCTGTTCTTGCTGAGGATCCCAGCCCCCGACGCTGGGAGTCCCTTTCGAGGGCAGTGGTGACTTTCCCTGCAGTGATGAGGACTCCAGGACATGGACCCGGACCGCGGCAGCCCGACTAACGGCGCGTGTTCCCAGAGGCCAGCCAGCCCATGAAGCACAATGGTGGTTGCGGAAATGCCAGTTTCCACTTGTTGGTAGTACACCCCCCGGTGCCATCGGCTGTTCCTTTGGCTCTTAGTGTATCATGGGCACCACTTGCCTAGGGCTGTTCTCCCCGCACACAGCAGGAGCCAAATTGTCGTGTGTGGGACCCAGTGCCCGCCTGTCCAAACTTCATGTGGCCACCTCTCACCTCATAGGGCTTCGTGAAGCCTGAGGCGTGCATCCATTACCCGAGGCCTGCTGCCCTGCACAGGGCTTGTTGCCTTCCCCCCCATCGGGGCCCTGATGTTTCATGCCCCCCCGCCCCGGACCCGGCTCAGCTAATGGGGCGACCTAATCCACATTGACATTGCTTCCCCCCCGGTCAAAAGTGGGTTTTCTGGAGGAGAGTCCTTGTGCTGTGTATTTGCCAGAGGGCTTCGGACACGTGGTGTCTCAGGGCTTTGCAACGCTCCCCTGAGATCAGTCCCGTCATCTGGTGCCATTAACTGGCAGGGTCCCCCCCCACGGATCCCCGGATTGCCCGCTGTACTTTGCGCTGATGAACTCTAAACATGAGCTCCTGAGCCACGGATGGCCAGCCTGCCAGCCTGCCCACACCCCCACGCCACAACACCCCCCCCACCCCACCCCACACATGTGCACAACCTTGCTAAATAAACCCATAGAGTCACGCTGATGTACACACACTCAAACACACCCACAGAGGGCCCCACACAAACAGACGCATGCACATCCCCACTCATGGCACGTGGCCTTACCAGACACATTGTCATACACTCAGAATGGGAAATCCCTAGGCACACGTGAGACAAAGACACATCACCACGTTGTGGGATGGTGTGGGCCCATGACATCTCATCGACAAGCAGCTAGTCCTAGTCCTGTGGGACAGAGGAACAGCACAGGCAGATGCACAGCTTCCCCCACAGAAACCATTCAGAATGCTCAGTCCACCTGAGCACCTGGATGCGTTTGTCACACATTCGTCTGATTTCTCCACACTTCCTCAGGTTTTGAGGCCTAGCCAGGCTTGCTGTTGACACGGAGAAGAAGACCATTCCTTTCCTGTGGAGGTTTGGTAGATGATAGATGGCGGGACCTGTGGAAAAAGAGTGGTCCAGGACATGGAACCTGCATGGCCTTTCATTACCTCTTAAAGTGAGAGCCAATGGGACTAGAAGGTCCTGGGCCAGTGAGTGGACCTGCCAGTTTGCTTGTGCTCATGGCAAGCAGGTGATGGATCCCCAAAGATTGGCCATGCCTCTTGCTCAGGGGCATAGCTGTGGAAGGTCTCCAGGGTCCTGGAGGGTGCTGAGGCCACAGGGAGACCCTATGAGCTGTTCGGCCTGCATAGTTCAATTACCAGGAGGCCAAGAAAGTGCTTGGATCGATGATGATTCCCTCAATCTGCATTCCTTGGAAAAGCTGAACAAAATGAGTGAGAACTCCCTACCAATCGTTCTCATCGAAACTGAGGTCCAGCACGTTGTTTCTCCAGGGGAAGGTAGGAGTAAGGGACAGCTTCTCCTTGTTCCTGCCCACATGCTCAAAAGGCACACCACCAACACCTCCATCTCCACCCCAAGGGCCTTGCAATCAGAGGCCTGGTGGAGGGCTGAGGGCCCAGAAAAACATAATGCTCTCCTTGGTGGGAGTCATCGGCTTCATGGTTCTCCGTGGCATGGCTGGGCTTTAGCAGCATCTCAGATAGCCAGCTGCCAAGCAGTAGGAGTTTGCATTAGATGGCATTTGGCAGGGCTTCGAAAGTGTCTGTGCCAGAGTACATAAGCCAGTCTGATGATTGAGCCAGAAATTCTGGCGTTGTGTGCAGCTCCCCCCCTTTTCAGGGTCACGTGTCATGGGGTTACAGGTGGACTATCATCCAGGCAAGGAGCTATCTTTGCCCGAGGCCTCTGTCCCGAGTTTTCAAATGAGAGCTGAATATGGTTGGGGGGAGACAGGAGAGGCACCACGAGGGGACCGTAATGCATTTGACTGAGCCTGAAACTCATCTGAGCCCAGACCAGGACAGACACACACAGTCTCGCACCCCACACATGAACACCCACATACACACGCATACACAAACACAGACGCGCGTACACACAGACGCACACCACCACACATGCAAGGAGATGCAGCAGAGCTCATGGTGTATGTTCAAGGCAGGAGTGTTGACACTCTGCTGTCCACTGGTATCAATGGGAATTGTAGGGCCCAGGCTCTCCACCAGGTTTGGTGCGGGCAGCCAGTGGCCTCTCTAAATTTGGATGGTGTTGCAAAAACCAACAGGTCAGTGCTTTGTTAGGCTGTGTGTAGCCCCACCACCGTCCCCATGGGCTGAGACTTAATGGCCTTAATGGGCTGCCTGGCAATCGTGCAGAGAGCTCTTTGTGACCCACCCCTGGACTACTACTTTTCTGAAGAAGCGCTCTCCTGGGTGTCTACCCTTTGCCTGTGAGAGGTATGCCAGCCATTGTAACCCTGGTCAGCCCTCACTTCGCCAGTTAGCCTTGCAGACCCCTGGCTGTGCAGAGCTTGCCTCCTGGGCTGCGGGGGGGCTCCTGTGTAAATGCGTTCACCCAGGGAGGCCCTTGATTCAGCATTCGCGGTGACTCCTTGCTCTGAGGGCACAAGTCTTCTCTGGGGTAGCCTGCACACCATGCAGGATAGGCCACAGGGACCCTGATAGCAGTCAGGCCCAGCCCCATGTTTTGGCCTTGGAGATTGACCTACGTCTTCCTCTTCATAGGAAGGGCACTGGTCGTCCTTTATTTGTGCCTCTCACCTGCAGTACTGTGGCCATGTTCCCCAGCCGCCCAGCCAGCCTTCCTGCCCTGCACATGCACACACACACACTCCTGCTAATGTTTCCCACGTAACTGTTTGGACCACTCTCGCCAGCTGAGCACCTGGGTGCATTTGTGACATAATTGTGTGATTTCTCCTCCATTCCTCAGGTGAGGAGTCCAAGCCATGCTCGCTGTTGACTAAAAAAAACAGAACTTTCTTTCTTTGGAGTTGCACAAGCATGATGGCGCACCTTTGGAAGAAGAGTGGCCCAGGGTGGGGAGCCTGCGCATGGATCGGTATGTGGGTAAGCCTTTCATTGTCTCAAAGTGAGCGAATTGGACTAGAAGATTCTGGGTTGGCCACCGTCCTGCCAGTGGGCTTGTGCCTCATGGCAAGGGGCAATGGTTCTCTGAGAGGATTGCCTGGGCCTCTTGCTCAGGGGTGAAGTTTGGAGGGTTTCCAGGGTGCTAGAGGGTGCTGAGGCCTCGGGGAGTCCCCTATGAGCCATCCAGCCTGCTTGGTTCAGTTTGCCAGTCGGCCCAGGAAGTGCTCCAATGGATCATGACTCCCTCAATCTGCTTTCCTTGGAAAATTGAACAAAATGAGTGAGAACTCCCTGCCGCCGTGCTCATCAAAACAGGTCCAGCACGTTGTCTTCCCCAGGGAAGGTAGGAGTGAGGGACAGCTAGCTTTGCCTTGGTCGTGCCACATTCTCGCAGCCTCCACCACCAGCTCCACCCAAGGGCCTTGGGATCTGAGAGCCTCATGGAAGGCTGAGGGCCCAAAAGGCATGTGCCCTCCTTGGATGGAAGTCCTCAGCTTAGTAGTCCCCCGAGGCATATCTAGGCTTTGAAGGCATCTCAGACAACCGGGAGCCAAGCAGTAGGAGTTGCATTGGGCAATGTTGGTGCAGCCTCAAGAGGCTCTGTGTCACAGCAAATCAGCCAGACTGATGATTGATCCAGAGCTCCTGGCAGTGTGAGCTGTGCAACTCCTTCAGGGCCAGGCACCATGGGTTTGGAGGAGGACTCTCATATGGGCAAGTGGGAATCTTTGCTCGAGGCCTCTGTTCCAGGTCATCAGGTAAAAGCTGCACAGGGTTGAGGGAATACAGGAAAGACACTAGGTAGGGCCAATGCACTTGACAGTGCCTTTAATGTGTCTCAGGCCAGAGAAGCGCACATACCCACACACACAGTCTCCCACACACATGAACACACACACGCATACACAGACAAATACACGCACAGACACACATAAAGATGCAGAGACAAGCACGCGCGCGCACACCCACCCACCCACACACACACACATGCACACACCACACATGCAAGTAGGACCTGCAGAGCTCGTGGTGTTTGCTCAGGGCAAAGTGTAGATGCTCTGCTGTCCACTGGGATGGATGGGAATGGCAGGGCCTCTGGAGTCCGCAGGATGGGTGTGTGCGTGTAGCTGGCAGGCTCCCTACACTCGGTGGTGTTGCAACACCAACGGGTCAGTGCTTTGTGGGCTGTGAGAGGTCTCACCGCCTTCCCACATGAGCTTCTACTTATTAACCTATGGGGCCTACTTTGGATGTAGCCCAGGACTCTGCCCGACATGCCCCTGGCCACTACCTTCCCAAAGAAGGGCTCTCCTGGGCATTTTCCATGTGCCTGTGAGAGGTATGCTGGCCATTGCCATTCTGGCCAACCCTCGCTTTTTTGAGTGAACTTGCAGTCCTTGGCCATGCAGACATTTCCTTCTGGGGTTCTGGGTTTCTATGTGAAGGCATCCATCCATGGCAGCCCTTGATTCAGCATCTGGGGTGGCTTCTTCCTGTTCTGTGGCCACAAGACTTCTCTGGGCTTGATTCTCAACCATGCTGGACAGGCCCTGGTGATGCTGATAGCAGTCAGGCACAGCCCGACATCGTGGCCATGGAGCTTGGCCCATGTCTTCCTCTTCATGGGAAGGGCACCGGTCCTCCTTTCTCTGTGCCTGTCATCTGCAGTACTTCAGCCATGCCCTTGCTCCAGAATCACTATGTTGCGCCTATCTCTTCCAATGAATGGGCCCTGACTTGACTCCTAAAATGTGGCTTCCTGTGAAGAGCACACTGCATGTTGCTGTCCTCACTGAGGATTCCAGCCCCCGACATGGGAGTCCCGTTCCAGGGCAGTGGTAAGAGACTTTCCCTGCAGCGATGAGGACTCAAGGACATGGACGTGGACATGGCAGCACGAGTGATGGCACATGTTCCTGGAGGCCATGCTCATGAAGCACAATGGCCTTAGGCATGCCAATGTCCTTGGCTGTAGCACACCGTGGTTTCCGTCAGCTGTTGCTACTTGCTCTTGTTGGGGCATGGGCACTGCTTGCCTAAGGCTGTTCTGCCCACATACGAAGAGTCATATTGTCGAGTCGTATTGTCGAGCGAGTGGGACGAGTCACCTGTCCAACCTTTGTATTGCTCCCTTGGCTCACTAGGGCTTCTGGAGGCCTGAGGCGTGAAGCCATCCCCCTGGGCTCCCAGCCTGCATCAGGACTCATTGCCTTGATCCATTTTCACTGAGATTTCATGCTGGGCTTTGACACCAAGACAGCTAACAAGGTGACGTAGTCCACAACAACGTCACTTTGACGGTTGGAAGTGGGCTTTTTTGAGGAGAGTCATTGTGCTCTGTGTTGCCAGAGCATTGGACATGTACTGTCTGACCTGCATTCTCCCATTGGGTAAATCACGTCAATTCATGCTGTGGTGTGGCAGGGTCTGAGGCAACATATCCATGGATGGCCCATGTGGTTTGTGGAGATGAACACCACACGTGAGCACCTCTGCCATGGCTGCCCAGCCTGCCAGCCTGTCTAGCACATGCACGCACGTGCACACCTGCTAATAAACTCACAGAGTCACACTGATGCACAATGAAACAGCACGGAGGGCCCCTCATACACAGATGCACATCTGTCCCCACTCATGACACGTGGCCTTGCCAGACACATTGTCATGCATTCACAAGAAAATTCTTAGACACACATGAAACAGAGGCACATCCCCATGTGTGGGCTGACGTGGGCCCGTGGCATCTCACCGACGAGAAGCTAGCCCTGTGGGACAGAGGGACAGCACAGGCAGATGCAAAGCTTCCCCCACGCAACTGTTTGGACCACTCTGGCCAGCTGAGCACCTGAGTGCATTTGTGATGCATTCTTATGTTTTCTCCACCATTCCTCAGGTGAGGAGAGCAAGCCAGGCACTCCATTGACTCAGAGAAGAAGACCTTCCTTTCCTTGGAGGTGTGGAGGGATGATGTGGGATTTCTGGAAGAAGAGTGGCCCGGGGCGGGGGACCCTGCACACAGATCGCTATGTGGGTAAGCCTTTTGTCATCTCAAAGTGAGATGATGGGACTAGAAGGTCCTAGATCTGCCTGTGGCCTGCCAGTTGGCTTGTGCCTCATGGAGAGGGGTGATAGCTCCCCGAGTGGAATGCCCATGCCTCTTGCTCAGGGCCGTAGTTCTGAATGGTCTCCAGCTTGCTGGAGGGTGCTGAGGCCTCGGGTACTACCCTACGACCTGTCCAGCCTGCGTGGTTCAATTTGCCAGGCAGCCCAGCAAGTGCTCAGATTGATGATGACTCCCTCAATCTGCATTCCTTGGAAAAGCTGAACAAAATGAGTGAGAACTCCCTACTGTCATTCTCATC